TTGCCTGGCATATAAAATGAAGCTGTCTTGTCGGCCATGACTGTCCATATATGATAGAGTATCAGCAGAGTTTGTTTTAAAGAGATTACAGAGACATACCGCATGCCTCGGCATCTTCATAGCTCATCACTACTCCCGCAGATCCCGAGCTTTGACTAGTCACCCTCTGAAACTGTACAATTTCATTTGTACGGTGCTTGAGGCACGAATTGCACCATGCATCCCAGTGGACGGTGTCATTCTTGTAGTGCTGCGTGCCCTTCCGGAAGTATTCCCACCACTGAGAGACCGTCGGCATAGATCACTGATGATGGATAACGAGATGGGTTTCGCAGGGGAAGGTAACGCGCCGTAATCAACGTAACATTCAACTTCAACGAGACGCGCTTGCCCGGTCTCAGCTTCCGGGCGCGCAATGCACGTGACTATCTATGATATCATTACGGCCTCATATGGCAGGTACAAGTCATGTGCGGGTCACGCATTAACTCCTTAACTTTCGTCAAACCTGGGTTTAACGTGGGAAACTGGTCAAACCCGGTCCAGGAGGCAAGGGGTTCAGCCTTAACCGGCCCATCACTGGGAGGCCCTACGGACGCCACGGACAAGAGCTACATCACACCGTACTACAAACTCAAGAAGCAGTTCGAGGGGCAGTTCGAGAAGGCCCACCTCCTCCCCCCTGTTTTCGACTTCCTTTTTGCTTGAGTTACATCTGGAACGCGCTGCTCACGCAGTCTGTTATCGTCCCCCACTGTCCTTTCTCTCCCGTATTGTCTTTCTCCTACCATCTATGCATTCCCCCTCCCTTTCTTTTTTGCTCTTGTATCTCTCTCTCTCTCTCTCTTCTTCCGTTTGCACTCACCGTCCTCCCCTTCAGTTGTCGATCCCGGTGTCGCGTGTCACCGTCAAGGTTCATCTCTATCCTTCCCTTTCTTTGTTTGTTCATCGATACTGACGCATAGAGACAGGTCGTGCTACGCTTCGTTGGTTTCTGTCGCTCAACTTCGTCGCGACGCTCGCATATTATTTATTCGGTTCATCAGGAAAAAGACACTAAACCTTATAGGACGACATAGGTTCTATAGTGCTCATAGGCATTTTGGCAAACCCATGTTTTGTAGACTGCAGTAGGCGGGCCAGAGTTCTCCGTAGTACTCCTGTAGGTCATGGTAGATGAAGAGAACACCATTACAGGCAGCAGTAGACGGAACGAACAAATACATAACCTCCATACTGTGGGTGCTCTGTAGGCCCACGTAGCCTCGTTGGCTTGTCGGTTCTTACACAATGAGCGGGGTCGCGTTCCGGGACTCGAGCATCGTCGTTATCGACACTTCCAGAACGTCCGTACGCGCCATACTCGGTCTCGGTGAACTGCTTCCTACACCTGCCGTCGTGCGTCTCCTTTTGTCGTTGCAGTGCGTTAGGCATGCTCACGTCTTCACCCAGGAAATCAAAGCACGCGTCGGGCTCCGGAGGTCGTTACATGATAGCAATGGGCTCTCGAATGGGCATGCTCAGCCTGCGGCTTCTACGAGTCGCGCTGCGTCTGCCATACCCATGTCTTCCGTGAAAGTGAACGATTACCTTGTGGGCGCGCAACTGGACAGTGCTCTGGCTGCAGGGGAGGATATTGTCGTGTCATGGCCGTTTGCTGAGGGCGACATAAGTGATTGGACTCAGGCTGAGGCTATATGGTACGTCTCTTCCTCGTAAATGAATGGACAGCGAACTCGTACCGCGCGTCCTGTGCCCAGTCAACTGACACGCGATACTCCTCGCAGGAAACACACACTCTTTGGCCTCCTCCACCTCCGCCGCACCCAAAATGAATCTCCCGTTCTGACAGTCCCGCCCACCCTCTCGCGCTCGAGTCTCGCGATGCTATCCCAACTGTTCTTTGAACGATTCAACGTCGCTGCGTTCACGCTTCTGTTTCGCCCAGTTGCCCAGATTTACGCGGGCAACGCCATCTCAGGCATCGTGGTGGATATCGGGGAGGAGTACACAGACGCTAGTCAGGGAATGCACGGAAAGCGTCAAGCTGGGTCTGCAAGACTGCAGAGAACACCTCGTAAATATTCTCCGCACCAACCAAAGCGTCATGATCCCCACCCGACGCACCCCTCCCGGAAGAGCACGTGAAACAAGCCCTGCTTTCCCTCGTAAACCACCTTCCAGCCTCAGGTCTCGTCAAACCACCGGCGCCCGTATCCTCGGTTACGGGCTTCTCCGCATCCACCATGCCAATCGTCGAAGAACCGGAGGACGGCGTCACAGACATCGCCGCTATCGTGCTGGCTGGGAAAGCAAAGGCCGTCATCGAGCACAACATGAAGAAGAGGGCCAGCGCAAAGGCGACCGCCGCGGAGCAAGCGAAGATGCGCGAAATTGAGGCGATGGACCTCGTCGAGATCAAGGATTGGGAGTGGGGCGTGGGTGGCGCGGAAGAGGGGAGCCCGGCGGCGAAGAAGCTCCGCGAGGTCGTCGTCGGCCGCGAGAGGCATCGGTTGTGCGAGCCGCTGTTCGATCCCAAGTTGTGTAAGAAAAATCCCAATGACGGTGTATGGCCGATACACGAGGTTATTGGAGCGGTGGTGCAGAGAGCGGACGTTGATCAGAGACAGTATGTCTGGCAAGGGTTGTTCGTGACAGGCGAGCTGGCGAGGTATATCAAGGGTCTGTTTCCTTCCTTTTCTGTTGTTCTGTGCCCGAGATCCTGATGAGCATGTCGGTGTATAGGCATGGGTACCTCCCTCCAATCTCGCTTGATGTCATACATCCTATCGCAGCCCGACCAGCACAACGACGTACAAGCGCGACATATCCGCGTACTCAAGATACCGGAGTACTTTGCAGAGTACAGAGAGAAAGGTGACGGCTTAGCGTCGTTTCTGGGTGCAGGTATTGTTGCGAAGGTAAGCTTACCGCCTCTTTACATGCGCTGCTCGGGTATTGACAGCAGCTCGGCTCGCAGATCGCGTTCCATGACCCGAATGGCAAGAACTTTGTGTCGAAGGGTGAATATGCAGCTAAGGGACCCCCGGCGATCATCGAAATGTCGGCTTCATTGCTGTAGGATATGCTCCACTGGTAGTTGTGCAATATATGTGGTTAGGTGTAATGTTTTCTTGGCTATGACAATCAAGAGCTACTGTGCATGGTGGACTCTACATCACTACATAAATGGGCCTGAAGCTACAAATCATGTCATGCCTTGTGGCCATGCACCACTGCCATTGATCTGACCTGCATTGTATGCTCTTTTGTATTGGGTCTCCCATACTTGGTACCCAATACTCAATGGTGGATCTTCAACACTTATTCTTGGGTTGACAGCAGGTGGCCTTGACAGTTGATGATTAGCTCTGTGACGATGCATAGTTATAATGAAATTCTGGTATGTGAAACTGTGATCTTCTTGTTCAGCGGGTATATGTGTCCTAGGTAAATCTTCGAGAAGGGAAGGTAATTCCTGGGAGTTGGCACATTCTTGACTAGTGCTTTTACCAAATAAGCAATACTGTGGAGCATAATGTAGTGAACCAGGGATACATACTGTAAAGTTTCAGCAAGCAGTGGATTCTCAGGGAGTGTTGGAAATTCAGAGAGTGGCAGCAGATGAGGCAGCAGAGGGTGGAAAGGACACCATGTTTTCTTAAAGGTGCAAGCAGGAGGAGTAGGCTCTGCATCCCCCAAATCACTATGTTGGTTCAGGAAGTGTTCAGTGAGGCCTCTGGGGTGGCTGAGCATATTGGCATCACATCCTACACACCAAATGTCAGATGAATAACATATCATGTGTGGGCCAACCTTTAATGGGGCAGATGAAGTGTATTGCTTGCAGGTGATCCCTGTCAATGTGCTCTCTAAGGGCTGATGGAGTAGGATATGCTGGTGTCAGACACATCTGAAAGTGACACTTGAAGAGGCCAGTCTTCATGACTTCTTAGGGGAAGCAAAGGTTCAGTGGAATGCAATGTCCTTACCTGCTTTGCATGCTCAAAGTGCTTGTAGACATGCTATTGATGATTGTGATCCAGTCAGTTGATGGACATGACCAATTGAGTCATAAATAGTCATCAATGGGTCCACAGCAATCAATGAAGTGGCAATGCCTGATAGAGTTCAGAAGGAGCAGGATGTGATGTGCATACCAATTGCAGAGAATGAAATGAATTCAGAACTGCATCACAGCCTTCCCATTTGCATGGAAGTTCCTGCAAAACATCCTTTGCTAATTGCAGAAATAGGTTGAGAGTCAGGGGAGAACCAGGCATAGTTTGACTTGAAAATGGCCCTGTCAGACCTGCTTTATGTATATTTTAGAGCAGTGGAATGCTCCGAGGCAAGCTCACTCAGTTCCAAGGCTTCCTGGCAATTTCCGAGGGAGACTGGGACATTCCCTAGGCACACTTAGTTTCCGGGACCAGCAAGTGACACCCTCACTTAAACTCAATAGAAGGTCAGACAGTGATTGGTGATATGCACAAGAAGTCAGATAGGCATACTTGTATGATGACACCACATGTATTAGAAACATCACTCTGATACCAACAGTCCATAATCCAGGATCCCTTACGGTGGACAGCTCTCCAGGTCAATGACATGGCATCCAGGCGTCAGAATGTCTACAGTCCCCAACCTATCAAACTGTACCTAATACGTAGCTTACAGTCCAAACATCTCTTTCAATTCACGGATGGTGTCAGTTGGGCATGTAACTGTATGTCCTTTCACACGTGGATCAGTGAAAATCTCATAATCATTACCACCCTGTGATCACGCAATGCAAGTTTAAACATCTGTCCAAAGAGAGCTGGTGCATCCTCCTTACCTTGAATGTCTTGTCCCCAAAGAAATGGATTTCTTCAAATTCATCAGGCTCAACATGTTGTAGGCAGTATGTCTTGTTCCACCCATCGGGGTAGACATCAAATGATATTTGTCCACCGATAGCGTAGGTCAGGTTGTAGTCGGAAAATTTTTCTCGGAGAACTTTGACAAAGGCCTCGCGTATGCCATGGATCTAGCAAGGCAAGTCCGTAAATGGATCCGTCCAACAGGAAACATGCATACTTTGTCGTAGGCTTGGAAGTCGAGACGTTCCTGGATCCTGCGTGGATGGTTCGGTCAGCTATCAAGCAACGAAAGGGATAGGACTTACGTTGCATTACGACCCAAGGGACTGACATTGATCATTCCGTTACGGAATTCAACAAACGTCCCTCTGTAGCCGATTGAGTACAAATACGGCCCGCTACAAACCAAAGTACTCACCGCTTGATAGGAATGTCCAGGTCCGCGACGTAATGCAGGATGAAGTTTACGAGCTTCTTGTACCGATCCTCGCCGACGTACTTGATAAAAGACTGCGACGGGAGCGCCACGCCTAGCCGGTATGCGGTAAGGCCGTTCTCAGCAAAGGCGAAGTCGAAGTCCCTGATGGCTGCAACGCGCAGAACGATCGTGAGTTGCCCGACGGACTACATGGTCTTGACTTACCGTTGTTCCCGTAGACGGACAGCTGTTCGGAGATCTTCACCATGTCGGATCCTCCGACAAACCCAATGGCCGCCTTCTTCCTGAGATCGCGCAAGATCTGGATAGTCTCTGGTGACGCTGCCTAGCGAGACAGCTCAAAAGGACGGGCTTTTGGCGACGATGCAGCAGTGACATACTTGTCGCGCAGGCGTCAGAGGTCCGTCGACGTCGAACAGCACAAGTTTCTTGGTCTCGCGATCGGAGAATGCTTGTGAAACCATGGCGTAGGACGTAACGGATGGGCGCAGGTGGTCGGCGTAGTGATGCTCGAGGACGCGACGGTCGACGCGCATAGTCGGGCATCGCCGATACTCAGTCACATGATTCATACCGCGTCTCGGGAGCGTCCCTCCTGCAGAGTCAGAATCTCCTCTCTACCTTCGACTCTGTCATCGTGCGCTTGAAGACATTGGACATGGCTCGCTATGAGCAGTATCATGTATATTCTCTTCCGCAGGAGCTTCTGGCTACCTTAACTCCCCGCAGTCTATTAACGGAGGGGCCTCCAAAACCCCCCACGCCGGACTTATCTGAAGCTGCTTCAACTGCTGGACCAGGCGGGCGATCTTGCAATATCTGTCTCGGTGCAACGTTCTCGGATGTGGATGAGCAAAGAATTCACTTCCGATCTGACTGGCATCGGTACAATGTAAAGTCGAGATTGAATGGCGGGAAAGCTGTGGGCGAAGCGGAGTTCGCTCGACTCATGGAAAGTGTGTGTGCATTTAGTCCTGACCTTTGCGGATCATCGTACAAACTATGTACCTTAGGTCTTGACGATTCATTGTCCGGATCCGCTTCCTCATCAGAAGATGACGGGGAGTCGGACGATTCGGACGCAATCACTAATCTGGTGAACCAGAGAGAGAAGCAAGCGCGGTCGCTGTCCCCTATTCCTGAAGCACCCAAAATGCGTCAAACTGCACTAGTGTGGTTCCACTCTCCGCCGTCCACACAGATCGGCATCTACAAGGCTATCTTCCCACTGTCCGCGACTCCCTCATCTTATTTGGATGAATTGAGGGACATGCAGAACCGGGTAGCCGATGGGCGTACGTGGGCTGTATTTATGGTCGCCGGAGGTCATTTTGCTGGAGCTATCGTTAGAGTGCAGCGTTCTGAGGATGACCAGGAAGACGAGACTAAGACCAAGAAAGGGAAACAGAGGGTACCCAAACCAGATGTTGAAGTCTTAAAGCATAAGACCTTCCACCGTTATACGAGTAAGCATGACAGGGACCCCCCTTGACCCCCGCTGCTTACTCATCTTCGCAGCTCGTCGTAAGCAGGGAGGCTCCCAGAGTCTCAACGACAAATCCAAAGGTGCAGCAATAAGTGCAGGTGCTCAGCTACGTCGTTACGGAGAGCAAGCCCTACGAGATGTAACTTTTTCAGACAATTCTCGAGATACGCTGCACCTAACACCACTCATATATCCAGGATATACGGAACTTGTTGAATGACTGGTCAGAAGATATCCACGATTGCGAAAGGATATGGATCCGGGCGAACACGTCTAACAGGCGGATCTTTCTGGATTACGAAGGATCTCCGATAGCCAAGGGTTTGTACTATCCTCCTCTAGAAGTGTGTAAAACAGATATTGACATGCAATAGGCGATGAGCGTCTCCGCACGTTCCCCTTCCCTACCCGTCGTCCTGTGAGTGCCGTCGACATCTGCATCCTAGACACCCTTCTCACTCTCGGTTAGACTCAAGCGGAGTTGTCGCGATGCCTGATGGAACTGACGAGAGTCAAAGTGTCCCACTTCACCGAGGAGGAACTCAAGGCCCAGGACGAAGCCTACCTGGCCTCTCTGCCAAAACCCAAGCCACAGCCCGTGCCTGCGGTGCCTGCCCCCGCGCCTGAGAAACCGACACGCCCCAAGTTGAGCAAGGAAGAAGAGGCCCTGCGAGACAAATGGGAGCGCTTGGTCGAGATGGTCACCAAGGGCCGTCTCGAGCCGCTCAAGGGGTTCTGGCAACGAGAAGGGGCCAATTTGGGTGGTGTTGATGTACTCATCCCGGAGTTCGTAGGCGAGCGGCGTACTCTGCTGCAGCTTGCTACACAGACTGGACAAGAAGAGGTTACCCAATGGCTTCTCGAGGAGGCACACGCTGATCCGACGGTGGAAGTTCCAAGCGTGGAGGGCCATGAGGATGGCGAGACCAAGGAAGACGAAGGGTCTTCAGCAAAGGCTAGGTCCAGGCGCACTGCGTACGATCTGGCAAGGACGAAGGAGGTGCGCAACGTTTTCCGACGATGCGCGGCTGCCCATCCGGACTGGTGGGACTGGCTCGTGGCAGCGCACGTTCCTAGTGTCCTGACTCAAGAAATGGAAGAGGAGCAGGAGGAGAAGAAGAAAGTTCGGCGGAAGGGATTGAAAGATAAGCTACGCGAGCGACAAGCGAAAGAGAAGGAGAGAGAAGTCGAGTCTCCACCCCCACTTCCCGCGGAGCCTCAGGTTGCGCAGGCTCCTCGAAGTCAAGATACCACGGGCCCCCGGAAGCTGGGAGGCGCCGCTGGTGCTGTGGACGGAATAGCTGGTCTGACACCCGAAATGAGGGCCAAGGTCGAACGGGAACGTCGAGCTAGGGCTGCCGAAGCACGGCTGAAGCGACTCGGGGGCTAATGCGCATTGATTATCTTATCTCCACAAAACATCTACACAAGTACGATTAGCGGATAGATATGTAGAATTAGCATCGACAAATCCTGTAGCCTATATTCCGACCGAGATCCCACAATGACTATTGAACCCGTGCATCTATCTGCAATGGCAAGCCAGTGCAGTCGCACTTCGGGTGCTTTTGACGGAGACGAACTCCAGACGTGAAACGAGCTTGGTGAGACATTCTCCGATGTTTACACGTTCATCTTGTAAAGCTTTTCATAATTTCGAAGAAATCCTAGGGCTACATATGCGCCTTAAATAGGTGACCTGTTCCGCTGGAGAAATGGCTTCTGGCTAATTCGTACACCACCTTACAATTTCTTGCTTTGGATCGCTTCCTCGATAGCTTCCTTCATCGATGCAATAACCTTATCAATATCGCCCCGTTGCTCGTCCACAACGCTGATGCCCATGTGTCTGTGAAGGGGGTCGAAATAGCAGGTGTCAGTATAGCCACCGGGAGGTATTGTTACCGCTACGAACCCGACGCGGAAGTATTTCTCTACAATAACGTACAATCATCAATTCCTAAAAGAGCCTAAATGACAACGCAGGGACATACCCTTCATTGCCTTATGCAAACCGGCAGCGACGATAACGTCCTTCTTGAAGAGACGAGGGAGGACGTCTGGCCCGGTCACACCTTCTGGGAAGTAGAACTAGCGAGACCATGTGAAACAAAGCCAAGTACAATCGAGAATGCAGGCCATACCGCGCTCATGCCGTTGGCAGCGAATTTTTCGTCCAGGGGGACTTGTTTGAGACCGAGCTCTTTCCCAGCTGCCTTAACCTTCTGGCTGGCTTCTCTGTGGAGTTTGAGGCGCTCGCTGAGGCTCGGGGAGCCCTTCGTAATGCGCGTCAGGGCGGCGTGGAAGGCATAGATCAGGTTAACCGGGGGCGTCGCAAAGTACGCCGGAGAACCTTTCTCGTATGCCTGCATGATGGGAAGCCACCTGTAGCAAAAATAAACACGACCGCTAGGAGTGTCAACGAGACATGCTACCCACTTCTTCCAGCTCGCATAGTACGAGTTGGGGGGAGTCTTACGGTTCTCGTAAACCTATATCGGCTTTGCGATGAGCTTAAGTATGTGAATGAGAGGGGGATAGGCTCCTACCTTGATCGCCTTCTGACTGGCCACGAGAATGCTCAGGCCAGGAGGCGTACCAAGGCCTTTCTGGCTGGCGGTTAAAACGACATCGATGCCCCAGTCATCGAAACGAATCTCTTCGCTGGCAACGGAGCATACACCGTCTACTACAGTCTACCCATGGCCTATATGAGCGCCATATTTTTGGTGGAATGGGAACTAGCACGTACGAGGGTATCAGGAGAGACTTTCTTTACAGTCTCCGCAATAGCTTTGGCGTCCGATAAGACGCCTAAGAGTGACCATCAGCAGAGCGTGCTATGGAATCTTCCCAGGATATACTGACCAGTGGACGTGTCTACGTGGGTGAAGGTGACGATCTTCGGTTATATATCGGCAAGGTCAGTGTCTTAACGAGGGTCACATGCACAATACCGAGGTCACCTTATATTTCTTGCTCTTGAGGGCCGACTCTATATCGGCTTGACTCACGACCCCGCCGACTTCGGCTGTAATCTGATCTACTTTGGCTCCGTAGGTCTGCAGACTGACATGCGCATGCGGATCTTAGGAAGCAGCGGGTAGACGTCGCAGGGAGTTTACGCACCATTCGGCAAAGCTATCTCCGAAATACCCGGTGTTCAGGACGAGGACGTCTTCCCCAGGCTCTACGAGGTTGGAGGCAACCTGACAGCAATGTCACCCGGGCAAACGGCGTAATATATCACTCGACGTACCTGATCCCAGCCAAGGGTGCCAGACCCAGAAATGATGAATGGTTGGCCGGTGGAGGTCAGGAGCACATCCCTGCAAGATAAGATCCATGAACTTCAGGGCCCACCGAGGTGTCAAGAGTCCAACCTCGTCATACGGATACAATCGCCCAGCACAGGGATGAACTCGGCAGAGACGTGTGACATGGAAGGGTGCGCGTTGGCGTAGAGTACCTGGACTCAGCAGTCAAGCCATGCCTCGGTGAATTCGGAATACGCAACGCGTACATCGTCCGCAACTTCAATCGGTCCAGGGATGCTGCAGCGAGGCGTTACATAGGAAGAATCGCTCGGATTGTAGCGCACTTACACCAGCAACCTAGCGTCGATCTAGTCAGTGGAGACTGATTATAGCTGAAAGAATCGTGGCTCACCTGTGAGGTTCCTAAAGCCGTAAGTGATGCATCAGCGCTGCCCTTGTCAGGAAAGAGCGGACAGACCTGCTTGAAATTCGCACCGGACGACATCGTGCGCTTGGTTGTGGGTCTCGCTGGTCGTAGAGCACGAAAAGAGGCCGGGCGAGGGACAGCAATGATATGGGCTCGTATGCCGGTTACAATCCTGGTCGCCATAACGGGCAACAACTTTCCGTCAACCGTTTTCCCCTCGGCCCGTTGCTGCATGACTCATGGGAACGCCCTCGAGCCCACGAAACGACGGACAAGAATATCGCAGCGGGACCAGCTCAAGGGCCACATTCTCGCGCTCGCAACAGCCTTCAATTAGTTTCATAAGAAAGCAGTCATATGATTGCTAATGTAGTGTAAGAACATCATCGGCCAGCGAGCACCCGCGAGTCGCCGTCAATCACCCCGTTTGCATTCCCGCCGCCGACTATCCCAGACACCGTCCTCTGCATGTCCGTCCACTCCGACTCCCGAGGGATAGCCATGTCGCCGATATCATACACGTACAGTTTGCCATCACTCCCTCCCAGCGCGGCGCGTCTGCCATCCTTGCCGTCCCACTGTATCTTATTTATGGCCCGCCCGGATCCTACTGTAGTGGAGACCACGGGAACCTGCAACACAAAAGTTGCCATTTCGTAAGTCAACCGGTCCAACCATGAAGCGCAGCGGCGTACCTCGGTATCCTGGTTCAGGTTCCAGAGTAAGAACTTGCCAGACCCGTCAGCAGTCCCGAACAGCGCTGGGTGGGACGGGTGCCATTTCACGTCATAGACGTAGTCGTCTGCCTCATCGAAGGAGTACACGGGCGGCACTGAATGAGCCGTCGTGGAGGGCTTGGCCAGAGACTTGGCTCGCCACAACTTGACAGTCCAGTCAACCGAACAGGTGAGGAAGAGGTCTGAGAAATCGACAGGCCCCACGAGAGGATGGAAATGAATGCCCATGATAGGTCCGGAGTGTCCCCGGTAGATGTCATATTGGTTCAGACCAGCCTTGGCCCCTGCACGGTCATATCGATTCGCCTGGTAGACATTTCCTTCTTCAGTCCCAACCCAGAATGTCGTGGTCTCATTGTCAGGGAAATCCAGAGTGGTGATCGCCACTTCGCCCGTCTTGCTGTGGCCCGCATGCACTAGTTCCAGTGTTTCCTAGACATCATGAATACCGTCTACCAGGGGACAACCAGGAAAACTACATTACCTGAGGCTGGGCCAGCATGTCGACGAGCCAACTGCAGACCAATCCATCTGTGCTACTGGTAATCAGGTTATGAGCATTCTGAGTACCGACCATCTGCATTGCATAAACAGGATGCGTATGACCCGCTGCCGACAAAGGTGTCTTCAGAACGGGCAGGTGTTTCGACCGTGTATCCCATAACAGGATCTGGCCTGAGTAGGTACCACCAAATACGAGGTTCGAGTGGAAGGGGGAGAAGGTCACAGAGAGTACGTCAGACTGTAAGCGCTGCGGTCAGCACTGCGGAGGCGAACAAGTGCAAGACCGACCTGCGAGTGGAAGACGAACTCGGGCCGCTCAAGTAAGTGCAGGTTCCAAACGGCTACTATACCGTCTGGTTCATTCAATGCTGCAGGATTCTTGTTGTAAGAGGCACAACTGAGTTCCGGGTACTATCAATCGATGGAGTCAGTCTTTCTATACACACAACCACGGGACTCTATACCTTTGGTGACCAATCAACGTCCGTAATCGAACGGTTCTTGCAGTACCGTTCATCCCAGAATGCACAAACCCTCTTCACGCGTTTCCCTTCGGAGTCATCTCTTTGCGCGGTTCAGGTCAGTGATCGGGCACTCCTGACTTCACCATGCTTACCCGCCGGATTCCGCGCCGACTGTATAATCTCGTATGTAGTCGTAGTTGTCGTTGAGAGCCCGCTCGACGATCTTTGACGACTGCTCGACGAAGTCCAAGAACTCGGGAGAGGTGAATACGCTTATTTTCTCCTCTTCCGTCAGCTCTAGCAACTCAAGGGCACATGCCCGTCAGTGAATTACGAACTACAGTCACTCGTGGCAAAAATCGCTCACCTCGGATTTCCTGCTCGATCTCCTTGTCAAGTTTCACGCTCTCCTCCTCGAGCTCCTTCTCCCTCGCTCGTTCAACTTCCAATTCTCGCTCTTTCTCCCGTAGTATCCGCTCTCGGATTTGCTCCTCGATGTCAGGACTGGGTTCCGTCTCCACCGACATCGTCTGCACTTCCTTATTATAGATCACTCGTTCCTAAGTTCGACACTTTAATTCTACAGTATCAGTCCCACATGAGGCACGCCCACCTTCTGCGGGAGCTCGAAGAGTTCTTGCTCGACGTCAATAAGGTCGGGAATGAGCCGCGACGTCATGGTCCTATTGTCTGTGAACTACATGACAGCCCAAACACACACAGCGTACTGACCGATCCATCACATCATCTGTGGCAGAATGAGCGAGCGTTGTGCCGATGCTCACCGGCTCAGAACCAAAGTCACTCTGTCGACTCCGCCGTCCAGAGTAACCAGAGGGGCCTGCAAGGGTAGAGCCCCCTCCGAGCGTAGGTGTTCCGGGCACAGAGGATGAGGGCGTCACGTCCCCTGCACTGTGCACGCCCCTCCCGGGCCTGCTGCCACCGAGTAACGAGTTTATGAGGTCGTCCACATCCCTGGGCGGGCCTGTGCTCGGTGATGCCTGATCAAGTCATATGGTTCAATAAGAATCTGTATAGTATCACTGGACATCCCCGTCATACCTCAGAAGCTGCATTTCTTTCCTTTTGCCTTTCGGCCCTGGCCTTGCGCAATTCTTGGAGTTTGGCTCTCTTGGCCTCAATCTCGGCCCTCCGCTTGTCTGACATGGTATCGCCGGAAGATATTCCGTGATCCGAGTTGATGTATAAGTATGCGTCCTCAGAGGTGTAAACCAAGGAATGGGTGAAATCCCGGAAGATGGAAAGGGATACGCGCCCTCAGAGCGCGACGCGTCTCCTAACAAGTGCTTCGGCGTGCTCCGATCATCTCCCTTTCAGTCACCATCTCTTTTACTGCTAAACAATCCCTAGCTATGTCGCTCATCACTCCTCAGTCTCGCGAGCCAGGCAAAAAGAAGGGAAATTTTCGCAGAAACGACAACAATCGTATTTATGCAAACCCGTTGCCGCTAGTATTCTCGCCTGAAGAAAAGAATGTCTGGTCAAGTCATAAAGTCTTGGGTCTGTTTGGACTTGCAGGCTCTCGCATACAGAATCCTCATTGCGAAGGAGTATTTGATGCACATACCCGGTCGGTCTGGGTGACAAATTCGGATTACTCGACGACCTTATGGCGAAGGGGTTTCTTTGGCAAAGGTACTCTATCTCGGAGTGAGCCTAGCTGGTTAGCTCGGCAAATCAATGCAAGACAAAACGCCGAGAAGAGTATGTTTCTCATTTCCTCGACTGCCTGAGGCTTGTAGCCAATTCATGAAGATATGGTTTCTGAACAGGTCACCGCGAAACGAAGAGCAGAGCGAAAGCAATTCAAGCTCGATCGTGCGAGAGCCATAGCTCAGGCAGCGGCAGCGGCCGAAGCAGCATTTGCTGAGGGTCGCATATTGACTGTGGAAGAAACAGGCATTGTTATCCCGTCCGCTGCGACATGGAAGCCATCAAGACCCGCATCTCCTCCGCCTCCAGCCCCTGAACCATCAACCCCCACCACTCAGAAAGATCCTCCCGAGGACGAGGATATTATTCCTGAGAACATGGAGCATCTGCAGCTTACTCTTCAAGAAGCCTTCTTCCTGGCGTGGACACTAGACTGTCTTATGATTGTCGATCCCGATACGGTACATCCAACAAAAACCATTCATTACCCTGTACAAGCTCAAGCAATCGTTTAGCATGCGGCTATGTCGCTCCAACAGATATGGCAGACGTTCCAGCTGGTCCATTTCCCACTCTATTTCAGCGCCTCCCAAGAACTATCCAATCTACGCTTCGACAACCCATTCCTGATCAATTACGTTGTGTACCATCATTACCGATCCTTAGGGTGGGTCGTCCGCAGTGGGATCAAATTCTGCGTCGACTACCTATTGTACAAGCGAGGACCCGTCTTCCATCACGCCGAGTAAGGCTAAATGTATCGGTGTCGTGTTCGCGCGTATTCTGATGATAGGTTAAGATTTGCTATAGTGGTGTGTCCCGTGTACGAGGACGAGCAAGATAGGGAAACGTGTCCATTCGATCTGCAGAATGTTGATCCATTCTCCTGGACTTGGCTCAGTACTGTCAATCGGGTCAACTCGCAGGTTCAGAAGGTACGTATAACCTGAATCAATACACCCGATGCACTCACCCATTCATTAGACCCTGGTATTGACCTATGTGACTATCCCGAGCCGCTCTAGGTGCCATTCAGTTTTGCTCGCGTCCCCCGCCTGCCTCCAGTTTTTTACAGTGCGAGAGGTTGTATTACGGCGGTTCATCCCTGCGAGAATGCGAGACTGAAGGGTAAGTGACTCATTATTTCCTGTTGACGTAGCAATGGACCATAAATACAATGATGCAGAATACCGACAATGCTAGGAAGTGCGATACAATAGCAAATATGCAGCAACACCCTCACATCCTACAGAAGTGAAACCAAAAGCAGTCAGATGAAAGAATAAGGTAAAGTCCGACAACGATGTCTATAAGCTCCCACAGGACCACCACCCACCACTCACGAAGGTGCAAGAAGGGCCTTGCCAGATCAGAGTCAGCCAGGAGCCCGGGATATGATGCATCATGTTCCACAGATATTTTGACCGAACGCTCGCAGAAGTAACGTATCCAGAGAATATCGACCTAGATGGCACCCTTGATTCGCACCTTGACGTACTTCTCATCGTACGCTTGAGCAAGAGGGAAAGCGGCAGGTTTACAGTCGAGGACCTTTTCCAGATCGGGACTGTTGGGGTTCGTGAATATTCCACCTTTGTGTTCTATCAGGAAGTCTCGTGCTTCAGCAAGGGTATCAAACGCCAGTTCCTTTTCGATGAAGCGGAGAGGAAGTTTCATATATCTGCAGTTATCATTTTAGTATTCCGAAGTCGGAGACAAGACACGGGTGACACTCGCGACTTACGCTTTTGTCATGATCATTAGAGCTCTGATCCTCTCTCTGGCCACAAAATGATCCATTATATATGCACCCATGTTGGGGGCATTCAGATAAAGATCGAAGAACGCATGATAATTTCCGATAGAAAGCGCTCGAGAGACGTCCAGAGCATGCCTGACTGCAGGATCATTTTTCTGTTTCGAGGTTAGCTGACCTACATAGAGATTTAGATCTGGCAAAATGTGTATCTCGCTTCAGTGATAATAGGGCCAGAAAATATGGAGAATCACAGACCACTTCTATTTCGCCCGTGCAACAACATCAGAATGCGGTAGGCAGTAAATTCCTCTACTTTGCCGGGGATACCAAGTTCGTAAAGATGTTTTAACATAGATTGACACTGGTTGTATTCAACCATGTCGCTCTTACAATAACGAAGGTGAGCCAAGCGTAGCTGCGTGAATTCCCAATGACTCACGACTTCTAGAGCCATCCGTGCGTGAATCTCGTACACTTGCACTGTGAACTCGTTCTTGATTCGCTGAACCTGAGGCCGAGAGCAAGACCTCGTTCACATCATTACCAGCGCTGAGCATGCAGACGTACTGTGAGATCCTGTCGCAGACTCTTAAACTGACTACAGATCCAGTTATAACTAGTCTTCTGTCGCCATCGGCTCTTGAGTTCTAATAACGTCCGTTGGAGAACGGCGTAGGGTCGTATTTGCTCAGGTTTGGGTTCCTTATAATGCTAAATAAAAGTGGAAAGGAGAGAACATATCAGATCTTACTGAAGTTAACCGAAGATAGTCCTTGAAGAGTTCCTGTGAGGTTCCTACAATAGTGAAGCGATCCCAGTTCGGGACATTCTTGCGTAAAATGTTCGTCATTAGTTCAGTCCAACAGAAGGTAATACGTCAACCCACCGGATCCGCTTCAGGCTCATCCCCATTACCAAATGGCGTTGGCGAGTGTGAAAAAATATGAGAATTCTGAGATTTTGGCGGGAATGATACATGACCCCCATTACTGTGGTTCTTCTGACGCTCTATCTCATGTTCCCGCTGGAATCGTGCAGCTCTACGCTGTAATGCAGCCTGGTCGTTGACATCGGAAGTAGCGTTCGCATTCCGCATCGCAGCTTTCTTGGCTTTCTTACTCGTTACACTCGAGGACATATCGCTGCGCCCACATTCAGAGAAACGCAGCAACCTGCTTCAGAGCCACTTACATCTTTCGTTTCAGATTATTGAGAGCAGGGGGAGGTTTGGGCATGAGACTGAGAGACAACACAATCTCAGCTAGCGCAATGATGGCAGGCTTGATCGTCTACCTTTGGAGTTGGACGCCTTCCCAATCTGTGGTCCAGAGCGTCTTGTTATTGAAAGCATCAGATATTACCTGTCTTAATTCTGCCTGGGCCTCAGCACGATTCGCCTCAGTCATCTGCCCAAGACATCTCGCAACCCAGTCCCTGGGAACTGTGAGTAACTCCTCATGATTCTAGCCATATTCACGTACTTCAGCTGCGGTGGCCATGTCTCAGAAGACATGTCGTTAATAGCACGAGCAAGAGGTAAGGCGAAGATATACGAGTCCGAGGGTACTGTAGGACGGCAGGGAGAACGACTCGATGTGGTTGGGTCAGAGGTGGTAGTGCATATGTCACGCTCCTCGCCGCACCCGAGCGTCACAGTCACCGCCGGATCTCACGCCACAGAAACTTCGAATTCAAGTTTGTTTCAAGTTATGGCCAATGCAAGCGCCAGTCTCAAACCCCACGGAGAGGATGGAGTTTCAGTCATTCCCTGCATCAACCACTCCCAGTGGATCTATGTTTGACAAAAGAGTAGTACTGATCTTAGTAGGCTTGATAGGGAGTGGCAAAGTGCGACTTTCTCTGCACGTCCAGTGGTTTGAGCGATTGACCAAGTCTGACAGTCCACTTTCGCACAAGCGCTGGAGCACCACTTTCCACAGTTCCGCAGATGCAGCCAAGACGAGTTAGGTGACCGACGTCAGGTCGAGAGATTGGCGAGGCAAACTCTGAGTGAAGGCTTGAGCGTATGCATTGATCGTACCAATGTTGACGAAACGCGAGTTATGCGTCCCTTCGCTCCCAAATACAGTTACGAACTAACGGATTGACAGACAACGGTCCCACTGGATTAATATAGCTCTCGAGTTTCCGCAGACTGCTATATGGGTTCTAGTTTTCGATACCCCTTACCAAGTCAGGGAGTCTCTTCAGCTTCGTTTGACCAGATCTTGACCAGTGTCCCCGCCAGATATGCGTAGAGCGACTACGAGAACGTATGTGTATTGTCTACCGTCCCGTAGCAGACTATTTAATGGAACTGGTAATCTAGGCATCCACCATCCGACCATTAAGAGTCCAGAGCATGCCTTGGAAGTCCTGGCACGCTTTTCCTCTAGTTATCGGCCTCCTTTGCCTCATGAAGGACACGACCGAATTATGCATATAAATCCATCAGATCACCCCTCCTCGGACTGGACACACGCAGACGTCATCGCAGTTCTTCAGCGTTTGCATGATTCCCAGCCTGTGGTCTCCCGTTCACGGTCACAACCTCGGCCCCAGTTTCGGGGGAAAAGAGGGCCTTCTTTCAATCGAGGACGTCCCTATCGCGGATATAGCAGAGGGTATGGGTCTGGAACGCAGAGGGGCCACACTCGCTATTCTAGTAATGGGTCCAATCAAGGAGTTGGCGAGGGTCCAGGTCACAGTACTGGTCATCCCGCAGCCAGTCAACCCCCATGGAACTTCCATACCACTGTTGGTATGGCGGCTCAAGGTCTGTCAGGCAGTAGAAGTTCTAGACCAGCTGCTGAATCCTGGAGGAGAGGATCAGCAACAGTTCAAGGCGAGGAAGGCGCAGTTTTGGATTTGACACGATCGCCGGAATCAGGCACCTTCGGAGACGAAAGAACGATGCAGTCTCGAGGATGACAAACCCCCGCGGACGACGACGAGCGAGAACCGGATCTGGATCGTAGACAGATCCGTTCATGTTAGAGTAGTCTATAGTGCCGCTACTTCAACGCAGATTGAATTTTAGGTAAAGAGCCAAGGGTTGCCTTAGTACTGTACAATTCAATATACGAGCTATCATTAGTATGCGTATGATCCCTGTTTCTCCACGCTGTCAAGTTCAATCTCGTATTGTACGTGTCAGACGCAATTAGGAACTGGTAAGACAATAAGAGTTAGTTTTAGTCCTTCTGATCCTGCACTTCCACTCGAGCGGACCGTAAGCGTAGAAGCAGGCCGTATGGTATTAGGTGTCAGTTTTGCTATATCACCAGCGCAGCTACCGAATGACCTCCCACTTATCTATGACAAGATTAAGGCTTCTCGTCTGAGCCCTTGTCGTCATTTCCTTGGTGTTCGGCCGCCTGTTTCTGCGAGGCCTCGTTCATCTTTTTCCCGAGAATCTTTGCACTCACCTAAAGAATGCAGTGCTTGATAAGGACCGACATAGTCTACCAATTCAGGGTATGACGATAACTTACGTTACGAATATGCATTGCGGCCCTTTCGACACCGAAGTCTTTGCTTCGCTTGTATTGAACAAGGGCATCTTCCAGGCGACCGCCTGAATAATAACGAATGTCATGAATGCAAAAGACTAATATGTAGTCGGAGATACTGACAGGCTTCCAGCACAGCGGCCAGGTTGAAGGCTATCTCAGGATCCTCCGGAGCCAATGAAGCGGCTATACTAAAGAGGTCTTGAGCCACGATGGGAGACAAATGAAGAGAAAGTTACGTGCTGTAGATGATGCAGGGCTAGGTCCGGCCGCGCAACTGGAGATATTATGTAGGCGCTCGCCAAATCTAGGACATGCAGTGAACGAAGGCGAAGTAAGAAAGGATGAAGGAACTGACTTGTGTGAGCGTCCGGACTAGATGGCTGTAGAGCGATAGATTCTTTCCACGCTTCGATTGCTTCGTCAAATTCCTCTGAGAGAGCAGGTCAATTGCACGCCAAGGAACGAATATAGTGACTGCATGACCGACTTAGGTGATAGCAGGTGACACCATAGTTGAAAAGCGAGCTCGCATTTTTCTTGATGCCTATGCTTCTTTTGTACAGATCCTTGGCTGCCTGGACGTCCCCTTCCTCAAGCTTTAGAGTTCCTTGCTCAAGGCATTTCAGAGCTTCTACTTCGGCGGGATCCGTCGCGGTAGAGTGAGGTGTGGTGGATGTGGCATAACCTTATCGATAGACAATAAGAAAGATTTGAGTTCAATCTGTACATCATAAAACTCTGAGCTTGGATCGAGAGCCTACGTTTCTGCTGGAAGCTTGACTTGGATACGGACGCGTCCCGGGGCCGCTGAGATCGACGTGAAAATAAGGCTGGTACCGGAGCAGATCTAATTATCCCAGCCGAGGAGCTGCGAAAGCCGGGCTTTAAACTTGGAAGAGAGCGCAACGAGGCCATGGTGAGGTGCAGGCTTCGCGTTCAAGCTGAACTTGGTTCAATTGTTCGTTCCAAAACGGCTAGCGTTTAGAGCTGACTAAGGTTAGGGTCTCGATCCCAGATTCTCGCGGAGTTGGAAAATTTCCTCTCTGGGAATCATTGACGTGCCTTCCAGACCATCGTCCTCGTCATTGACCGCCGTCTGCTCGTCCTCGCCGTCGGCCATGTCGTCCAGTGACTCGTCGTCGTCTTCCGCGTTCAGCTCAGCCATAGGGTCCACGTCTTTTGCTGGCCAAGGACCCTCTGGATCAGGCGATGGTCCAACTGCCGCAGACGTTCTCCTGGGCGCATACGACCCGACACGTCTGCACCCTTTGGCTAGCGTCCAGGATTCGCTGGACTTCCTACAGCTTGATGACGATAAGCTCACTGATCTTCCTGGTGCGACAACTGCTATTCCATCTCGGGGTTGGAGTGATGACTTGTGTTATGGAACCGGGACTTTATATCTGAGTGGTAAGTGCCTAGTACCTGCCTCTGCGCTCCTTCCGGCTTCGTGCACATGGCATGCATATGTCCCCACGTTCTGTAATGTGGGATCCCTTCGAGCCTTATCACCGACCCTCTGTTGGTCTTATTGTTTTGCTCCCCATCACATGCTGATCCATCTTTCCCTAGGTCTGACTGTTGGTGGGATATGGGGCCTGCGTGAGGGTGCAAGACGCCCACTCGCTGTATCGAATACACGACTGCGGATTAACAGCATTCTCAATGCTGTGACGCGGAGAGGTACCTTCATCGGGAATTCCGCAGGTGTTTTAGGTCAGCATGATCATCCTTCTATGGCCGGTTCGCGTCCACTTAGCAAGTATTTTGCAGCGCTTGTGTACAATGGCTTCAATTCAACTATCGATGCCATACGAGGCAAGCACGACGCAGTAGGAAGTATGACAGCCGGCGCATTCACAGGAGCGTTATACAAATCGACAGGCACGCATGCTACTTCACTTCTCCTTGTGTTTTTTTCTTATGGTCATTATACCATTCATAGCCGGCGTAAAACCCGCTCTCGCGGCGGCGACTTTAGTCTCTGGGCTTGCAGGTATTTGGAGTTATGTGAAGACGCGTGTTTGAGTATCTTATTATCCTGTAATATAACACGATTGCACTTGCATTAATGCTGTCTCCTCTCTGTTTCTGTTGGCATCATTCATGATTTCAGCCGCTTAAGTTCTTGGGATTGAATCCGCGAATCTGGAGATCCCTTATGCCGGGACAATTACATCTAAGGACTAGTTGCCCGCGCTCGGCGTTATCCAGTTCGGCTTCTGGATCGAGGCTGAGATTCGATCATCATCAGACTCCTGTGTTCCAAGTTTCGACGTCGCCCTAACATGCTGACCTCGTTTTTCTGCAGACAAACTATATATATGTTTAATCCTAGCCCTCTAGTTCCAGGCCAGAGCAGCCTCTAGTGCGCGGAATCGCCCAGGACACACGCTGCCCAACGCAGACTGCCGCGCTATGGCATACCCCTCTGCACTTGTAACCACCGTTATCAACAGCGCGCGCTCTTCATCCGCCACGCCAGCTATATATTGTTATGCGGACCTTGGTCCTGACGACTCCTACGGACGTGTCTGTTCTCTATCCTGGCCTACGCAGCATAATCCCTTCTGGCTCCTGCCCTCTCACAACGCTGCAGAGGCTTACGCCAAGTTACTGAAGCAAGGGTCTACCAAAAGGCATAATGTATTCGTCAGAACTACTTTGAAGAGGGCAGTGGACATACCCGCCGGACAGCCGTTACGTTACTACTGTCACCAGTCGGACTGCGAACTATACGGCAGAATTTGCGTAATAACCGTTGGTAGACAGGTCGCCGAAGTGCGTCCTATTTTCCGCTCTTTCGTCCATGCGTGGGCTGATTGTGGCACTACTTGATCTGGACAGCGGCGAACCACGAGAAGAGGACCAGGGCAACGACCGCGTCCGAAGGATCCCAGATATGATGCCTTGCACGCCGTCATCTGTATCAAATCAGTGTTGCTCTTTACAAGACGAAGTGAAGACGGACGGCATGTGGGATTCCGCCGGGTGTACTTGCGTGCGGCCCCTGATGATCGAGCTCCGGACAGTACTGGCCAGTCCACCTACCACACTCGGCTGTCAGGCGGTGCCCGGTCCTCATCTAGCATGCATTCTTCACCGGCTGCTTCCGTCGCGGGCTCCTCAGCGAGCCAACCAAGCTCCTTCAAGTCCGGTCCCTCTCGGAGCACAGGAAGCCCTGCCCCAACTACCGGACATTCTAGGCTGAGCGTATCGTCCCTGCTCTGCGAGGATCCCGAGCCGTGAGTGATCTCCTGTGACAAAAGCCTGTACTGATCAGTCACTTTATGTATCAGCTCAGGGCTGTCCTACCGCCTCGAAGTTGTGCAGCAACCAGAGCGTGCAGCCGAATTCACACACCGACCCCTGTCGCGCCTGCCGGTTGCTCCTCCTCCAATAGTGCAGCTCCATATTAGAGATCAAGCCGGAAATCCCGTCAATGAGTGCGTCTTTATCTTATATTCACCATTGCCGCGGACAAAGAACCCTGTTAAGAACATGTCATCGCGTAGTTGCTGATTCTTATAATCCTCTAGGGACATGGAGCTCCCTTTCCTAGTTGCTCACCTGACCCTGCTGTCCGAAGACGGAAAAACCGCAGTAGACTCTGTTCCGCCGCCGGATGGGGAGGGCCCGTCGCTGAGGCTCCTGAACGGCACCCTTGTCTCCTCTCCACATTATCTGCGAAATTTACAGGGTAAGCGTGGAATATACTTTTTGTTTCCAGACGTGAGTATTCGATGGAGAGGTCGATATTGTCTGGCCGTCCTTCTTGTGAGGTTGTCAAGGCAAGATTTCACGGATCTGCTCACTTACCATTTGTGCTCATACGCTCGCCCGCCAGTGATCCCCTTGTGGGCGTCGGCCGCCAGGGAACCGTCGTCACCGAGGTTCGTACCAATGCATTCGACGTTCTCCCGTATAGCAGCTATGCGGCTCCGCGTGAGAGTTATTTTTTTTTCGTTGCTGTTTCAAGTTCTTAGCTGTGTTTTCTGCGTGGAACAGCACAAACACAACTGAGTCAATATTTCCTGCAGCAGGGTGCCCGACTCTACACGTTCTCTTCGTCCGTGTCAAACCCCAGCCCTCAGAGTCCTCAATCTTGAATGCCTTGCCTTCTTCTCTCGTCTCCAGGGACAATTACTGTTCGCGACTTCGTCATGCCTTCCGGAAGGCCTTCTGGGTCTATATCAATCAATTCTTGACGCTCATTCTTCCCTGTTGCGCTCCGTATAGATTTCTGTCGTATAGCTCCCGTTTCAAGCGGCGTATTCTCACTGGGCTGCATCATGTTCTCTCGCTCTCGGGACCTTTCCTAACACGCATCTCATCACACCGAAGCTTGCGCATACACCAGATTCTTGCTGAACACCCGCACTGATTAGAAGCATTTTCTGATGTTACCAGTGAATAGGCTTTGTCTTTCTATATCTGGAGTTATGACGAGTCGGGTGAATACGGCAAGGAGATCTCAGGTGGCGGTCGCCCAGACTTCAGAATCTTCGTGGTATGCCATTAGAAGATGTCGTGATAACAAAAGGAGATGGAATGGTCAAAGAAGGTATGGTAGTTGCACACTGAGATAAGCTATTGGCGGACAGATCGGCGGCGAAAGGAACCTCGACACTGGGCAACAAACTCTAGAGCTGTGCATCACCAGGAATGCAAAGCTCCTCTGTAGTGAAGATCAGAGGTGATAGGAGGTGATACAATGCCACGTACTTACTTACATATGCATCTCTGCCCCGCTGGGCATGAGCGCACTCCCTTCATAGACCAGTACAAAATATAGGTTCCTTTGATAAGTTGGCATCATTGCAACCCTAGGTTTCCTCGAAGGCAAAGACTATCTTATTCTTGTCTTCTCATTGGCGACAATTCATGAGTGGCTCTGATCTTTGAAGGCTACACAGGCGCTCTATGGATACTTGCCATGCTTTTCAGCTAAGACAGCCATTCGAAGCACTGTATGTACGTACGCCAGGTTACACGGCGGACAAACGATGTATCCAATTCTGCGGTCGCTGGGAAATTGGACAGTACTGTACCATTTTGATCAATTCGGCAGGCGGTGTGACATGTGACACGTTTTATGGATTCGTCTCGGTTTGTCGATTCGTCAAGTGGCTATATATGGTGCGAAGTGGCGCCACAGGCAAGGTCCGAATACCTGATATGGAAGGTCTCACGGTCGGAGAGGTCCTGTGACCTGTGACACGCGCCAAATTTCGTCTTCGGCAGGTACCCCTGTGACCTGTGACTGCCGAATAGATCGAAATCATACAGTATGTCCCTTCAGGTGTCAAATTCTCTGCAACTATCACGCTGTCACATTTGCGTCATCCGGACGGTGGCGCATATTGGTCCGGAACTGCTTAAACGCCTACGAGTGGCGATCCAGGTTTCGTGCCAACTCTTGATTTACCTTGTTACTGTATTTCTGAGGACTCTGTTGTGAGCTCTGGATGGTCAGAGCAACAACCTTGGCAAGCAAGTCGTGCAATCCAAGTAGATGCACATCTCTTGACAGTGTGCTAGCAGCACTGAGAGTGTGTCTAAAGTCGTGATAGCTACCGGGGCATGTGAAAATCCAGCAACAGCCACATCCTTATCGGGTACACCTCAACGGAAGCACAAATAGGTTCAAAACGATGTGAGTTGGCTTTGGGCATGCAATATTTCGATGTAGGTAGTCTGGTAGTGTTGTAATGATACATTTCCTCCTCATTTTGGACCTTAGGTAGACCATCAGCAAATTGTCCCGCGGCTGGTAGTGGCTGGCGCTTATTCCAGTTATTTTAACATGTCTACAATCGCATTACCAGCCAAATACCAGACTTGTATTTATGATAAGCCAACTTGAACCGCCTGTTGAGATATGCTTACCAGAGAATTATCTTATCATTCTATATATATACCCTTAGCAACAAAGCAACCACCGGCGCCTGATGTGCGTCACCTCACGTGCTAAGTTCAACATGGCAGACTTTGAACTTGACTTAAAAGCGCGCCACAGTTCGACATCGTCGCTCATCTCCCTTGTATCACGACTAAGTCCCTTACACAGCTCCCACATGCTTCTGAATGGTGGCATCGACACCATCTACTATAACTCTCCGCGGGTAAGTTCTCTTTGTGAACCTGTTGCCTCTCCTTAAACTGCCTAAGTACCTTCCTACAGCGCGTGTACGGCGGGGTTGATGCAACCTAGAAGTGGCCCTCATCGTGTATTGACATGTCTTGGTTGTGGGTAAGCCATTTCTCTGTGTTACTGTGTGCCCATATTCATAGGTTCTCAGATTGTCGGAGCGACAAGTCTGAGTCATGCTTGCTAGGTATGTTTTTCATGTTTAGTGACATGACTGATGACTGAGTGTTCTGATCCATTCTGCAGGTCTACCGCTGCCGGGTTCTAAGCATACAAGATGACTAGTGCACCAGGTATGTCTCTCATCTCACCTATCTGGTTTATTGTAGTGACATGGCTTGCTTTCCATTGAGTAGGTTGTGTGGAGGGTATGGGTCAGCAGATAGTACTGTGTTGAATGTCTAGCCATAGCAAATCCTGTCTAGTAGCTAGTCTGAGCAATTATACACTGTTTATTGTGTTCATCAGCCAATGCTCCCCTTTTTGTTCCAGGGATCTGGAATATCAAGCAAATGACAGCTGATAGTCTGATTAGAGCTTGTAATATGTAGAGGTATGGTACATATTGTACTTCTTGTGGGAGTCTTGCAACATGTGCCATCCGAATATAATGGCTGGCCCAGCCGTCCACAAGTCTGGTACATATTGTAATACCGGTACTTATTTTAATTGATTATATGCTAATGGTATAAATTTGCTGATGACATCCGATAGCCTATAGGTCCCATGTTTGGAGCCATACTCAGACTTGCCCGGGCTTTGGAGATGACGTCACAGTTACTGCGTGACGCTGTGCCGGCAAGCAACGGAATTTGACACCTGAAGAGACAGACTGTCCAATTTCTGCACAACCGCGGAATTGAACACATCATTTGTCCGCTGTGTTAGTGATGTAAGCGCAAGAATTTAACCCGATGGTTAGACTCGCGACCAGTCCTGTACGCAATGCACATGCCTTCCTTTTTAGGTCTTGGAATGAAGGCGTGAGCTTGCGAACGGACTGGTGACAACGGACAGTCACATAAGGCCGCAGGGCCGCGCTCGTGCACAGCAGAACCCACTACCTTTGACTTGAACTGTGTGTAGACAGCAGTTTTGAATGGGGCTCCTCAACCTCCTGCAATGTATTGATAATTTCATAGACCTATGGTCCAGGACATGTATAACATATCACCACAACTCTCGGAAATTTATATCAGAACTGAACAAGGCAGGCATGTTCTTCAAGCTTCAAATGTCCGGTCTCAACCACTCCTTATGAATCAAATGTCCTGCCACTTCTATGCATCCCTCTTGCCTGAGTGTTCAAGTTCCTCTGCCTGTCACTACTGTGTCAGTGGGCCGGCATTCAATACCATTCACCCTCTGTTTCCTTTTGTGATATGTTTTGATGTCATACTTCCCTTATTTGGGACTTTAGGGCAGGTTTCTCCCGATCTTGCAAATCTACTATGTAAGTTGTTCATGGGGAGGCGCAATTCCGGGTCGCGCGGCGAGTTGTTTGCATCTGTTTGGACTCTGCAAGAAAGTGGTCGCAAATCCCCCGCCTTCATAGAGCCTTCCGCATGTTGAAATCACGCATATTAAATGTACCGGCAGGGATGTCATGATA